GTGATTTGCTTCACGACGCGAGCACGTCGGGGGAGGTTCTGCGGCTCGGGGCGACCCAAGCCGTCAGGCCGCCTCTACAGCCACGGCTTGCTGGGGAGCACGTGTTCAACAGCGCGCTCGCGGCAAGGGGCACAGGAGCCTCTTCCTCAGATCCCTATCGTCCTCCCTTCCCCTCTCCCTCCCCCGCCCCCTCCTCTCCCTCTTCTCTTCCTCCCTCTCCTCTCCATCTTCTTTTCCTCCTCCTTCTCCTTCTCCTCCTCTTCACTGCTCCAGCTCCGCACTCTCCATCCAATCGTATTTCTCCACTTCCGCAACCTCCCTTCTCATCATACTCCACCTTCTGTCCCCTTGCATACTACTTCTGCTAGTCACCCGCATTCTAATCCTCTCCTCCTCCTTCTCCTCCTCCTCCTTCTCCTCCTCCTACTGTTCTGTGTCAGCATCGTCCTCCATTTCCTGCTGCTGCTGCCGCTGCTGCTGCTGCTGCTCCTCCTCCTGCTCCGCCTCCTCCTCCTCCTCCTTCTCCTCCTCCTCCTGACCCCCTCTCGTCGTCCTCGCTTTCCTCGGCTGTCTTGGGGCCCTATTGAGGCATCTTCGGGCTGTCTTGGGGGCGTCTGGGGCAATTTGAAGGAATTTCGGTGGAACTCACTTAATCCTGACCCCTGGCGCGCCAGAAAGTCGCCTCCCAGCGCACCCCCAGGAACCATCTCCAGCGCTGCGCCGGGCGTGTCCCCATCCAGCGCTCTCGCTCGAGACATCCCCGCAACATAGCCCAACGGGCCCCCAGCGCGCCCGCAGGGACGAGTTCTGGCGCTGCGCCAGGCCCATCCGGCGCTCTCACCGGAGACATCCCCGCAACATAGCCCAGCGGGCCCCAGCGCACCTCCAAGGACCATTTCCGGTGCTGCGCCGGGCGTGTCCCCATCCGGCGCTCTCGCTCGAGACGTCCTCGCAACATCACCCCACGGGCCCCCAGCGCTCCCCCAGGGACCACTTCCGGCCCTTGTGCTCCGCATCCTCACCTGGCTCTCCTTCTCCACGTCCTCACCCTCCTGCCCCACGCTCGCCTGATTCTCACCCGTGTTACCCTCACTCTCCTGATCCTTCCCCTCGCGAGTCTCGCCCTCCTGATCCTCACGCTCATTCTCCTCTCGGTCATATTCCTATTGCAAAGGTGCGTACGCCCATTCTATACACACAAACTCCCGATCAACCGCAGAGCGGCCAGTTAGCATTGGGGCCTTCTTGGGACTACCACAAGGGATTATTGGGCCGTTTTGGAGCCACATCGGTGGCCTCCAGGGCCGCTCTGGTCTGTCCGAAGGCCGAACTACCCCAACGAGAGAGAGAGAGAGAGAAAGAGAGAAAAGCTGAGTACGAAAAAATACGCACATGAGATCGAACAACAGGCTCAGAGGGCATCGCAATACTGCGTGACGGTCGCGTGCCAGGCTGCCGTGGTCTGCACTGAACAGTGCCACAGATGAGCAAGGGCCTCTTCACCCCCCGCTGCCCAGACAGCGTGCGCATGAAGCATTGCTGGAACGCCAGGGCGCCTGGCCCAGAGCTGGCTCTGTGAGGGTCGCCACTTTTCGAGGGCGCTGTCCCACCAGGAGGGGCGCCTTCCCCCGTGAGGGCCTCCACTGTTCGGAAGCCAGAGCGCCCGGCCCACAGCTGGCCCACACAACCGGCAGCTGCCTCCAGCCCGCCACGGGGGACGCCATCCTCGAGAGGCTCGCCACCTCCCGAAGGCCCAAGCGCAAGGCCCAAAGCTGGCCCACAGAGCCGGCAGAGCCCTCCAGCCCGCTGGGGGGAGCGTCGTTCTCGTCGGGGTCGCCAGCTGTCGAAGGCCAAAGCGCTCAGCCAACAGCTGGCCCACAGAGCTAGCAGAGGCTTCCAGCCCACCAGGAGGGGCGCCATCCCTGAGACGGTCGCCCATCGACCATAGAAGCATAGACACTAACAACCATGAGCAACACAAACCCTCACCAGCAACGTAGTAATAACAGCATCAAACAACACCACCACCAACACCAGCAACAACAACACTACCAACACCATCAATACCAACAACAAACACAACAACAACAACAACAACAACAACCCCAACAACAACGACAACAACAGCAACGGCAACAACAACAACGACAACGACAACAACAACACTCATTTTAAGACTGTTCGCTCTTATCTGCTCGAGTGTCCGTTAACGCGTATTTCCCAAACCCTCGATACCCGCCCTCTTCGTCTTCGATCGTATCCCTTTTGGGGGGTATATCTTTCTTCCCTGCAGGCCGGGCCCTGGCAAGCGGCGGGGCGGCCACGGCCCGTCGGCCTGGCCAGCGGCAGCGCTGATCGGCGGCAACCCGACCCTAAGAGGGACGGACAGGGGACCGACCACGACGACGACAACGTCGACGACGACGACGGCGACGGCGATGACGACGACGACGACGACGACGACGAGTGAAAGCGAGAGCGAGAAAGAGAGAGACAGCAGGGGCACGAAGGGCACGAAGTTGGCCACGAGAAGCGACAGCGGGGACGCGAAGGGAATGCGTATGGGGCCACGAAGAGCGCGAACGAGCGGGGGCCACGAAGGGCAGATTATTCGGGGCCACAGCAGGCAACGACGGGGCCACTGAGGGTAGCAACTGGGCCACGTAGGACAGCGAGGGGGCCACAAAGGGCGACAGCGGGGCCACGAAGTGCATGCACATGGGGCCACGACGGGCGCGAACGAGCGGGGGCCACGAAGGGCATACGTATATTGGGCCGCGGAGGGCAAGGACGGGGCCACTGAGGGCAGCAACGGGGCCACGAAGGCCAGCGAGGGGGCCACGAAGGGCGACAGCGGGGCCACAAAGGGCATGCATATGGGGCCACGGTGGGCGCGAACGAGCGGGGGCCACCAAGGGCATACATATATGGGACCACGAAGGGCAGCGAGGGGGCCACGAAGGGCTGCAACGGGGCCACGAAGGGCAGCGAGGGGGGCACGAAGGGCTGCAACGGGGCCACGAAGGGCAGCGAGGGGGCCACGAAACAAAGCGAGGGGGCCACGAATGGCTGCAACGGGGCCAGGAAGGGCAGCACGTAGGGCTGCAACAGGGCCACGAAGGGCTGCAAGGGGGCCACGAAGGGTTGCAACGGGGCCACGAAACAAAGCGAGGGGGCCAGGAAGGGCTGCAACGGGGCCGGGAGGGGCAGCACGAATGGCTGCAACGGGGCCAGGAAGGGCAGGGAAGGGGCCACGAAGGGCTGCCACGGGGCCACGAAGGGCAGCGAGATCCCGATTCCTAAATAAACCGTGAGGGAGTCCTAAGCGTGAACGCGACTCCTAGGTGCCTGAGTGTCGGGAGCGCGGCGCTTGAGTAAATTGCGCAAAATTCCAACGCAAAGGCGCTACTTGAATCAATTGCAAGCAAGTCTCCAGCGAGAGCGCGACTCCAGAGCGCCGAGAGAGCGATTCCTGAATACATTGTTAGGAAGTCACAAGCGAGAGCGCCATTCCTGAATAAAATGCGCGGAAGTCTCGGGCGGGAGCGGGGATCCTGGCTAAATTGCGAGGACGTCTCAGGCGGGAGCCGTTGTTGTTGTCACCCGGGGGCCAACAACGCAGTTTGAGGATGAAGACTTCCCCTGATAAAAAAACAGGGTGCGAGCGCCGGGAGGGGCACTTCAATCGAACAAATGAAATGTGCACTGGAGGGGGGGATCAACCATCATTAATCTTCAGTCGTGAGAATTCAACAACAACAGCAGCAGCAACAACAACACCAACACCACCACCACCACCACTTCCACCACCACCAACAACACCACCACCAACAACCACAACAACCACAACAACAACGATAACAACAATAACAACAGCAACAACAACACCAACGCCAACGCCAACACCAATAGCAACGACAACAACAACAACAACAACAACAACAACAACAAAAACAGCAACCTCAAAAACAACAACATTGAAGCCACAGGACCAGCAACGATGACATGAACAGCAACCATATCAGCAAAGCCGGCAGAGGTCGCCGATAACGCAGTTCTTGATATGGCCACCTCGAGGCCATCTTCGGCCAAGCCCTCTTAGAAGCGTCTTGGAACCAATATTGGACAATCCTGTGCCATTTTGGGGCCTCCTAACGCCGTTCGTGTCGCCTGAAACCACGTGCTGCCTGCCGTCTTCCGTCTTCCGCAGGGTTCTCCCGACCCCCCCCCCCTCGCGGGAATATTCAACGAGTACCCATGCACACGGCGGTTGGGGGACGAAAAACCTCCGTCCTGACTTGCTCACGAGACTTGCCGAAGACGTCGGACACATGGGGAGCTGACCAGAAGCCCCCGCGAGGGCAGAAAAGGGCGAACACACACAGATCAAACACCTTAAGCCTCGATGCACGTTGCCGTTAGCGTCGTCGTTGCGCGGATCGCCAGAGGAGTCTCTCGCCAAAGGAGGCGTCCCCAGCTCTTCACGCCGTGCTGGAGCCCCCTGGTCTCGAGAGGGGTCCACCGGAGGCCGCAGGGGGTCCTCCCTGGAAATCCTTAGGACACCTCGGGCCGGGGACGCCCCTGGCAGCACCCGACCCCCTTGACACCCGACGATGCGATTCTTCCAATCCGCTGCCCCAGACCGCCCGACCGCTTCCCTGTGGGGTGGTCTTCCATGATGGGCCTGTTTTCCACCACCACCACCACCATAAGTTGGAGGGGGAGGGGGTCCTCCTCCTCCTCCTCCTCCCCCTCCTCCTCCTCCTCGTCCTCCTCCCCCCCTCCTCCTCCTCCTCCTCCCCCTCCAACTTATGGTGGTGGTGGTGGAAAACAGGCCCATCACTCCACCCCGGGTCCGTGTTTGCAGGCCCGGGACGCGGCCCGACGACGGCCCCTCCAGAGTCCGACGAAGTCGCGAGGAGCAATAGAACGAGGGGTGTCGAAGAGCAGGTGTCGCCCGAGATCTGGGGTCGCCGTCGTCGTCGTCGTCCTCGGCGCGCCTTGCCGGCGAGCATCCTCCGAACCAGCAGGGCCCCGATGAGCTTCATGTTGCCCAGCATGCGCCTGGCGCCCGGGACCCTCCTCCTCCTCCTCCTCCTCCTCCTCCTCCTCCTCCTCCTCCTCCGCCGTCCACCCCCCCCTCCTCCCCATCCTCCTCCTCCTCCTCCTCCTCCTCCTCCTCCTCCTCCTCCTCCTCTGCCACCTTCTCCTGTTAATCCTCGGTCCTCCTCCTCCGTCTTTTCCTCCTCCTTCTCCTCCTCGTCCTTCCGTCTTGTCTTTCCTCCTCATCCTCCTCTTCAACAACTACTAAACATGAATACCACGTTCCTCCTTCCCCCGACAACGTGCTGAAAATATCCCGCTATCTCCGCGTACTGGGGCTTGCGCGCAGGACTGCACAAAGTTGATAGTTTAGTCGGTGTTTCAATCGGAGCGCCTTCAGTGCTTCAAGAAAAATTCCGCTGCAGTGCGCGCCTCATTTTTTGATCAGCTCTTTGCTTCCGTCCTTCAGAATGGCGCTCTCACCGCAGCGCGGGCCACTCGTCTGGATCCGACTCCTTCCCCATCGTCGTCTCCCCGCTCCTGTCCCCTCGCCCGCCTTCCCCTGATCCTCCTGCTTCTCCTGCTCCTCCCAGTCCTATTCCTGCTGTTGTCGCTCCTCCTCGTCTTCCTCCTCCTCCTCCTCCCCCTCCTCCCTCCCTCCTCGCCTTTCTCGTGCTCATCGTCCAGCTCATCCGCCACATCCTTCTCTTCCTCCACTCTGCACCGCTCCCCTCTACTGATTGCGCATGGCACGATGGTTTCTTCTTGGGGGTCCCATGTCCGCTATGGCAGCCGTCAGCGGTTAGAGAAAAATCAGCGCAATAAGAGCGGATGGGCGTTAGTTGCTCGTTCTGGGGAACATATCATGGAGCCACTCGCTCCACTCGTGCGTCGATGCTACACCGAACATGTGTCGACTCTGAGTCGAGCTTGATTCAAACTTGAGTCGAGCTCGAGTCGAACTAGAGCCGAACTAGAGTCGAAGTAGACTCGAACAGGTCCGTTAGATGGTCCACAAACAATCACCTAATGGGTGTGAGGGGTAGGATGTCAAATATAGCGCGAGCGCACCTAGCTTGTCCCTGCTTCTCTCCTCCCTCCTCCCTCCTCCTCCTCCGTCCTATTCCTCCTCCTCCACCATCCATCCGCCGCCTCCTCATCCCCCCTCCTCCGCCGCCTCCTCCTCCTCCGGAATTCTCCTCCCTCCTCCCTCTGACCACCCTCCCAGTCTCTCCTCCCTCCTCCTCGTCATCATCATTATTCACCCTCCTCCCCTTCCTCCGCCCCCCGTTCTCCGTCCCCTAACTCTTCTTACTCCTCGTCCCTCCTCCCTCCTCACTCCTCACTCCTTATCTCTCTCTCTCTCTCTCCCTCTCTCTCTCTCTCTCCCTCCATCCTCATCCTCATCCCTATGTAAAGTCTGGACAAGTCCGTGGGCAATTCAACCCTCGTCAATGTTGGATCTTGGTTCGGGCGTCCTCAATTCATCCAGCCACGCCCCGAGGTCTACCACCAAGGGCGCGCTACTGAACCCAATCGTGGATCCGTGCTAGCAGTTTTCCTCCTCCTGCTCGTCACCATCTCCCCTTTGCCCCAGTCATCTGCTGGGGCACCATCCCTCTCGCTCCATCCTGCATCCCTCCTCCGCTCTGCCCCTCTTGCTTCCAACTCCCTGCCGCCTCCTCCACCTCCGCCTCCGGCTCGGCCCTCCTCCTCCTCGTCCTCCTCCTTCTCCGCCGCCTCCTCGGCCTCCTCCTCCTCCTCCTCCCTCGCCGCCATCCCTCATGCCCTCTACCGCCTCCATCACCCTTCCCCTTCGAGCAGGCCCGCCCGCCGTCGCCGTGGCGGCGGCGGCCTTGCGGGGGAGGCCGAGGAGAAGAACCCAAGAAGGGGGGAAACCGCGCAGCAGTAATCCAAAAGCACAGACCAAGAAATATCCAAGAGAAGGAGAAGAACCCCCATACGGTAGAGGGAAACAATTACTGAACACTGCCCCTCCCCCCCAAACTCAAAGTTGGCACGAGCGGGGGAGACTGTGGTCGAGGTGCAACCCATCAGACCCACCGCCAACTTTGAACATTGGGGGGAAGGGGAGGCGTTGACAGATGAATGTGGCATGAGTGTTTGCCATTCTTCCGAGGCCTGTAGCAAAGAAGGCCAAGGAGAGAAACATCCACACCGGTCTCTCTCGCACACTCGCACACCACTCGAACGGCCGCGGACCCGAGCCAATGAGGGCCCCGACCCCGCCGCCCTGGCCAAGAGCAAACTGGAAGAAAGCGCACAGAGGCGGCAGACTCCAGAGCATGCGCGGGCTCCCAGTCATCATGTTGGAGTGGCTTTTCTCAGGGATGGTGGGAGGCACGGCCCTCAAGGCTGCCAGCAGGCCACCAAGGGCGCCCCCCCCCCACAAGCACCAAGAGGCCCAAATCAAGCCTCAGGAGGCCCCAAAGAGGCCCCAGGAGGCTCCCCAAACCGCCTGCAACAGGCTCCCAAGAGGTCTCCCAAGAGATTCCACAGGCATCCAATAGGCCTCTGACCGACAGCCTAGTCGCAGCGGCGGGGTGGCCCGAATTAGCACTGCCTTGGTCCATATCCAAATCAAAAGCCCATGTAAAACGACACTGCACTTATACAAGCACGCGGGCGCACACCATGCAACCGTATGCTGCACTCGACGCTGACACGGTCGCACACCTCATACATCATGCGGACCACTCGCCTCTAGTTCGTACTGTGTGCGCCCGTATGCATGTATGATAACTGCACCAGCTTAAAGGTGATATATGTTTGGATGATGGGCCAGCGCAGTGCTGAGATGTTCGTGCCTCCTGCTATCCCTGAGAAAAGCCTGTGCGACATGATGACAAGGTGCCCGCGCATGCTCCAGTGTCATTCGCTTATGTGTACGTTCGTTCCTTTTGTTTTTGATCGGGACTGTGGGGTTGCGATCCTCGTTGGCTCGGGTCGGCGGCCTCTCGAGTGTTGTGCAAGTGAGTGTGCGTGTGCGTGCGTCGATATGCAAGCCCATGTGTGTTGCCAAGCGCACAGGCGCACCTGGTGCGCGTCGCGGACGTCGCGTCGCGCACGTGGCACACGTGGCACACATGGCGAACCATGCACGCCTGACACGCCTGGGTAGACAGGGCACGTGGCACGCGTGGCGTACCTCGACGAGTGCGGCGCACCAGGCGCCTCCAATGGAGCACAGTGACTGTCTATCGAGCGGATTGGGAGCTTGGCATCTCGCCCCTCCCCTCTCCCACGGGTCCAGGTATCCCCTCCCTGCCCAACGCGAGCGGTTAGAGTGCCAAAGATGGCTCCAAGAGGGGCCCACCGAATCCAAGATGGTGGTCGAGACAGCGCACCAAAGCCCAGATTGGCTCAAGATGGCCTCCAGCATCCTCCAGCGTGGCCCCAAGAGGCCCTGAGACAACTTGGGGTGGCCAAGGGGCCTCAAGGATGCCCCCGCGAGTACGAAGTCGTTTAAATACGCGTGCTTGCCGTGCTTTCTGAGGTATGGCCTCTGCCTCCTCGACTGTTCGTTTCCGATATGCATATGGCGCCACAGAAAAGCTACCAAAACGAAACCAGCATGCCCAAAGATGCCCTGAGGTAGGCCACTGATGCAGGCTTATCGCGCTGACTCCAGCTTCGGTTCCACCATATAGCGAGAGCTACGAGAAGGCCATTGCGGGTGACTTGGGGGTATGCGTGGGCTGATCCCAAGCTTCGGTTTGCAGTTTATGCCACCCTCCTCATTAGGTTGATGTATGCACCTTCGCTCCTCTGCTCAATGCAACCCGCCTGGAAGTCAGCCCTGGATAGGCTACGCGCGAGGCGTCAAGAATGCATCGTGTGTTCACCACGGTCCTCATGCAGCATTGCTGCAGTTTGACCCGTGCATCGCGTCGGAGCCGATTCGCCCCGACCACCAGGAGCGCCTCCCCTGCGAGCGAGTCAGCTGGCTGGGCTCCCGAAGCCAGCCCAGCGAGAGCAGCGTATGTAGAAGTGAGCCTCAAGCTGTACGATATGACCCCTGCACATCCGAGATCAAAGTCTACGCAATCTTCGGCGTGAGACTTGATCGAAAAGGGTCGCTCTGGGTAGGAGCTCCTTCACCAGTTCGAGCTGGTCCAGTCAAAGTCGGCGGCCGTGCCCTACATGACTGGGTCTGATGTCGCGCACAATGTTTAACACTATGACGCCTCTATTAGGCGTTATTAGCAAGCCAAGGATGGGCCTCGACTTGGCCACAACCAGCTCGCTCGCTGGGGTCCACGTTCAACAAAATATTGATCAAGTGCCTGGCGTCCCCAGAGCAGTGAGCGATCGGGTCCCGCGAGAAGTCGCCGTCGAGGATGCTCGCCTCGGTCTCGAATGGCACCTCTGATGGAAAAGAAGACAAGCATACACGTTCGAATGTCCGCGCGGATTTCTTGGATCGCCGTTGGGCTTGCGCCTCCGGCGCCGCCCCTGGCACGCTACGCGCGCCAGGGAGGGGGATTCACGAAGCCTGCGTGGACTTTCATCAAGAGTTAATGCTGCTGCAGCGCTTGCTTCTGCGAGCCTTCCCCGCCAACATCGTGTAGAGCACGCAGCCGAGACCCCAGAAATCCACGGCCTCCGTGAACTGGCGCCTCGGCAGCTCGAGAAACTCCGCAGTGAAGGCGGACTCCAGGCCCTGCAGCGTGCCCACGATCGAGGGCTCGCCGGGCGCCTCGGGGTCTGGCAGGAAAGGCAGCTCCATGACCTCGATGCCGGGAGAGCAGGGAAAAACTAGGCTGACTCTCGAGTGCCCGCGCGGCCTTCCAGGGTAGGCGCTGGGCCCGTCCCTGGCGAAGCGCCTCCAGAGAAGGGCAGGTTCAGCGCCGACCCGAGAAGTCCTCGCGGGCCTCCGAAAGCGGATGCTCGTGCAGCTGCTGCCTGCTCTCCTCCGGATGCCGTTGATCCTCGCGACAGCCCAGCCCTCGCGGACGCCGTGCACCTCGCCCTGGCCGCCTGGCTCCAGGCCGCTGACCAGCGCCCCCCGCCCATCGGGGCGGGCCGTGGCAAGGCCGAAGCCCGGGGACAGCTCCCGGGGGGACGCGAATCGGACCGGCGTGCTGAGTCTCCAGAGGGAGAGACATGTTTGCGCAACACGTATAACTGTCGGACGGCCGCGTGGACTTCTCGGATCGGCGCTAGGTCTACCCCCTCGCTGGCGCGCCGAACGCGCCAGGCGCCAGGGGCGGCGCCAAATGCGCCGCCAGGGGGACCGCGGTGCCGACCCAAAATCCGCGCGGACCTCCGAAAGTTGATGATGACGGAAATGTTTCTTCCTCTATTCTCGCGTCCTCACCTCCGGGCGCGAGCATCAGCTTCGCGCGGACGACCTCGGGAGCCATGATCTCCATTGTTCCGACGCAGCTCTGCACATAGGACCCCGAAAATATTCGGGCGATGCCGAAATCGATGAGCTTCACGTCCAGGTCCCCCGTGGCTCCGTTCCTGCGCACCAGGATGTTGTCACACTTCAAGTCGCGATGCAAAACCTGTCTGTCGTGCATGAACTTTATGCCTGCGAGCGCCTGCCGGACGATGTCGCGAGAGGTGCGCTCGTCAAGCCTGCCCTCGCTGGCAATCATGCTTGTGAGGCTGCCACCCTCAACCAACTCAACGACCATCATCTTATACTAGAAGAAGAAAAAGCTGCATAAACATAAACGTTCGGACCTCCGCGCGAATTTCTGGCTTCGGCGCTGGGCCCCACTGGCAGCGCCCCTGGCGCCGCCCCTGGCGCGCTCAACGCACCAGACGGGGTTCCAGAACCGATCCGAGAAAGTCGCGCGGAGCTCCCAAAGTTTGTGCTTACGCGGATCTTCGCTTTCGATCTACATTGCAGGGATTGCGTCCTTGCCCAAAGGGTGTGGTGCATCCCAGCTACCATAGCACTTTGCGATGTTCGGATGGCCCTGCACCTTCTGGATGACCTCCATCTCCTTCTCGAATATTCGGGGGATGACCAAAGATGCCCCTGGTCCCAGGCGCCCCCCCGTTCTCGCGCCCATTTGTAGGCCGCTGGGGCCCTCGGGGCCTCGCGAGGGGTGCTCTGGAAGCCACTTGCTGGGTAAACTCAGAGCATGCCGAACTGAGACAACTGCAGCTCAAAATCGGTCCCTGGAACCCTCCTGGGGTTCGAACACACAAGTGGTGCGAGCTGCGCCCAGCCGTGGCGACGACGCGCCTCCGCGAAGGCCAATCACCGTAGTCTCAAGCGTCCCTCCTGTGATAAACTGGGGTCATCTCGGGCCACGGCTACTTCTGGCAACACCCGAAATACTGCGAGCTTGTTGCTGGATTCGGGGTCCATCTGCAGGCGCCAGATGGGCACCGCCTTCACGGCGAACTCCCTGCTGGAATCCCGCACGCGCCTGCACCGGTAGACCGTGCCCTGGCCGCCGACACCGAGCACCTGATCAGTCTGAATCTCGAAAGGATCGTCCTCTCGGAGGAAGGTCAGTCGAGAGAATGGCGGCCCTCCCCTGCGTTTTTCGTAATTCTGAGGCCTCCTGCAGGCTTCCTGTCGCCACGGCTGGATCCGCCTCGAAGAACCGGGCCAGGATGGAAGGGGTCCTGGGACCGGTTCTGAGCAGATCTGGGACCGGGCGGAGGGAGAGCCGCCGCTGTCCCAACGGCCCTCCCTCTGATCCTCGGGCCCGAAGCGGCGGAACAACTCGATCGTCTCCCCGGCTCCCCGGGCAACGCGCCTGCGCCGCCTTCTCTGGAAGAGCAAAAAAACTGCACAGAAGCAAAGGCTTTCGGAGGCTGTCCGCGCGGATCTGCTTGGCGGGCCCCCCTTTAGGGGGGTTCCGAAGCGGTGCGGTGGCAGACCGTGCAGTGCCCTCGAAAGCCCGAAGGCCCTGACCGCACGGTCCGTCCACCGACCTGCTTTGGGACCCTTCGAGCCCCAGTCGCCCGAGACATCCTCGGAATCCCAAAACCATGAGGCCACTCCGAACCCCCACTGACTCACCCGACGGTGTGGTCACTGCACCGTCTTGGGGCCTCTGGCTCCCTATTGCGCGGAGAGCGCCAGGGGGCGGCGCCGGAGGCGCCCGTAGGGGGGCCCAGCGCCCGATCCAAGAGATCCTCGCACCTCCGAGAAGTTTCAATTTATGCAGTTTTTTTTCTTCGGTCATTCGCGGACGCTGGCGTGCGCTGGCCAGCGGCAAAGCAGCCGTAGCTCCGGCCGCCGCGGCCACGGCGCACGCCAGGCGACACCAGTCGGCTCCTCGGTAGCACTCTGGGAAGACTGGCGGCGCGCACAGGGGATGGTGCGAGGGGGGCCGCCTTCTGCAAAGGTTGGGCGCTTCCAACAATGGAGCTCAGAGAACGTTGCACATGCACCGATCCTGGCCAGGCCCATCCTGGGCCCAGGATCGGTGCACACGCCCTCCTGGCCTGGCCAGGGAGACATACATCGATCCTGGATCCATGGTGGCCCTGGCCCGGAGCGGTGTATGTGCTTCGTTTTCTTCGACAGGTAGGACGGGAGAGGCCTTCATAGACGGGCCAGGAGGCTTCCGATAAGCCTCTTCTGGAAGTCGAGAGGGCTCCTAAGGAGCCCCCTGACTTCTTAGAAACTCCCCCGCCTTCTTAGAGAGCCACCCTCCTCGCGGTACCCCCTTGCGCGCGCCGCCACGAAGAGGCTGAGTGCACGGCCACCCCGCGCAGTGGATGGCCGCAACGACGACTCCGACAAAACCTTCGACAGAGTCGGGCCGCTGAAACTATGCGCCATGCTGATCAAGCGCATATCGCTTGAGCACCAGTTGAGCTAACAAAGCTACGGAACGGTGAACTCCCGATGTCTTTCTGGACGTTCAGGCAAGCACGCGAAAGATCGCGGTGGCAGCGCTTGAATTATATCTTTCACCTAGGGTCCAATGAGTGCATAGTTTTCCTCACAATCCTGCTGGGTGTGACTGTTCAATCTCAGTCGCAAGGGTGCGCTGTACGAGGAAGTTGCTGGGACACCTTGGCCCTAACACGTGGCTTGGTCTAGAATCTGTATATATATATACACACAACGTCTCCTCCTCGGAAGCGCAAGCAGGCTTCGCCGACCGCATCTGTGAGCTCAGGAAGGGGCCAGAACAAGCCTGGACACGCCAAGCACGTGGGCACCACAAGCTTCATTTGGGGATACTTTCTGGACCTCTCCCAGTATGCGTTCTGACCAGGGCTTCAGGGCGACCTCAGCCGTGGCGACGAGGGACGGCTAGGGGCAACGGTACCTGTCCCTACTCTGAGTTTCGAGTTTGACATCCCTCGGGGCCAACCAAAGAGTGGGCCCGGCAGCTTGCACCTCAGGGGTCGTCCTCAAGTCCAGCCCCTGCCCGTGGGAGGCGGCCAACTACGCATGCGCTTCTCCTGATATCCGGCAGGGACAGGAGGAGGAGGAGGAGGAGGAGGAAGAGGAGGAGGAGGAGGCACAGCGTCGGAATGCAGGTGCCTTCATCGCTCTGCCGCCGCTCTCGCCCGAGAGGCAGCTCGGCTGCATGGAGCGCCCCGGCGGCCATCGTGAGGGCTTCGGAGGGGTCGAAACGTCGAAGCTCCGGGCCACGGCGACTATACTCGCAGTGGAGCAGTCGGTGGAGATGGAGCTGTGTGGCAACAGACTTTAGGTGCGAGGGCTCCGAGGCACGCAATCCCAGCCTCATGATGGGATCACTTTCGAACGGGATGCGGATAACGCGCGCGAGTGCGAAATTGAAGCAAGGGCACCAGCCGCCGTAATGCGACATGCAATCTCGGGCCCCTGCACAGCCGAGCATGCAGCCCCACTCCGGGTTACGCATCCTCCCAGTCGTGACCCACCTACCCGCCCAAGTTTTAATGGCAGCAAGCCTCCACGAGGGGGGGGCAAGTAAAAAACCCTCGTCCCAGCAGATCACCTCGGGAGCTTCAAGAGGGGTCCCAAACCATTTTCTGACTCGAAAGGAAAGGAATCGAGGCCACTCTGGTCGGAAAAAGGACGAGTGGAGGGAGGAGGATAGGAAAGACTGCATTTTTTTGAGATCGCCTTCGGCGCGCACAGCGGCCCATGCCGCGCGCGCGTGGGCGCACTGTACACGCTTGTCCCACAAGTACTCACCGTGCACGGCCTCCGCGAGGCTGCTCACGAAGGCAGGCGCTTGCCACCACGGGGGCGCAAGCATGCCTCGCATCCACTGCACCACCCACGCCCGCAGCTGCGGCTCCAGGGTACGCCAGCAGGTCAGCGTCACCTCGGCGGTCCGCATGCGCGCCGCCAGGGCCGTCACGCGCACTGAAGGTAGCCACTGCCCGTCCCAACTCGAAGCGTGAGCCACGCCCGCCCGGGCAGGAAGCTCCCCAGGCAGCATAGGAGCGAGGTGAGGACGTGGCGCTCGTCCTCCACGAGCGCACACGGCAGCGGCACGAGCTGGCTCACGCAACTCGTGACCGGGAGCGCTCTCGCGCGGCATGCCAGGCCCAGCGCAGCGCCATCTATGGCCATGGCCTTCAGCGCGCGGGCGCGGCCACGACATTCCTTCAGGGGCGGGCCTCCTCCCCGACCGTGTCGTCGAAGGCCTGCCACAGGAGGGATCGCGCCGCACTTCGTCGTCTTGAGCCTCAGGACCGCGTGCTCCTCGGCCTCCGTGAGGGTGTCCTCCAGGACCTTCCTCCCTCCTGCTCCCTCCACGGTCGCGCCGCAGTCGTCCGCGCAGCACCGCGCGAGCCCGCGGCCCTCCCTGCGGCCGCAGCGCGGCGAAGATTGCCTCAATGGCCAGCGCGAAGTACGAGCCGCTCGGCGGGTCGCCCCGTGCCGCCCCCGACCGCACGGCGTAGCGCGGCAGACGGTCGAGGGCGCCCCACGTCCACGCCTGCGCGCGGCTCGCGTCGTAAATGTTGATGAGCCCCTCAGGCGCGTCCTACGACTCCAGCACCTCGCCGATGCATTCCTGGGAAATGCTCGGGGAGGCCTGGCCCCAGCCAAAGGTGTGCAGCATGGGCCGACGCGCGAGCGCAGTCTCCTCCCGGTTCCACATCCGCCCGTATACGTCGAGCTCCGTCACGTGCACGAAGCCTCGCTGGCTCGCCGCCACCTCGCGGCGCGTCACCACGCGCAGGCGACAGTGGACTGCGCCCGACATCGCCTTGGCCGCTGTGCTGCGCAGAAGGAGCGGGCACAGGTCGGCAGCGTCACGCACCAGGCCGCCGACCGCCTCCTCGTCCGCCTCCTGCGAACCCTCCGGAATGAAGATCCCGAGCCCTGCGTTGCACTCCGCGCGCAGGCGCAAGCCGCAAGCCGCTCGCCTGCCCTGTCAGGCCCCGGGCAGGGGCCGCCGCGCACGCGGGGTGCCGTTGCCAGGCGCGGGCGGGGAGCCCGCCGGGCCCAGGCGCCGCGGGGAGCCCGCCGGGCCCAGGCACACCCGCACTCCCCTGGTCGTCGGCGGCGGCAGGTCCTTCCAACTCCCGCGAGGCGGGGCGAAGCGGGCGAGGCAGGCGCGCCGGCGGTCCGGGGGATCGTCGGCAGCCCCAGCGGCAGCCCCAGCGGCGGCGCGTCCAGGTCGTAGATCGTGGCGCCGCCGTCCGCGATGGACGAAGACGTGGCCCCAATACCTAGCAATGGCGGCCGAAATGCCGGCCGCGGTGCGCACCA